GTAACATATATTTATGCTTTCTTCAAATGGTGATGATAGACTCACTCTCTACCTTGACTCACTTGTTACCTTAAGAATTCTTTGTCATTTAAGAGCAAACTTACTTTTCACAGATAATATTAAAAAACAAGACATGCACAGATAATATAAAAAAACAAGAAGTAAATAGAGAAACAAAACCCTTTCACACTGTTGGTAGAAATATAAGCTGGTATAGCATGATGGAACATAGTGCAGAGGCACCTCAAAAATTAGAAATACAACTACCATATAACCAAGCAACTCTATTTCTGGGCATATATATAAAAGAAATGAAGTCAATATGCTAAAGACATAATCATATTACCGCAGTCTTTCTAGCATTTTTCCTAAGAGTTGAGACATAGAATCAGTGTAAGTGTCTGCCAGAAGATGGAAGATGAAGAAAATGCAGTAGAATACTAGTCAACCTTAAAAGAAGGAATCCTATCATTTGTGACAGCAGTGATGAACCTGACACCATGCACAGAAAGATGAATATTGCATGACCCTACTTCTATGTGAAATCCAAAACAGCTGAATTCGCAGAAGAACAGAGCTTCTATAGTCACTGCACTGTAGGGGAATCCGGACGGAAAGATTTTGTTAAAGAATACAAAACTCCAACTTATTCTGCAGGACAAATAAAACAGGAAATGTGTTGTATAATACAGTGACTGGCAACTTCAATTAATAGGAATGTTTTCATAGCTTCCAAATTGTAATAGATTTTCATGTTCTTACCACCCAAAAATCCAAAGGGAGTGGGATAGTGGATATGTTAAGCAACTTGATTTAGTCATTCTACAGTGCACACTTATATCAAAACGTCGTGGTGTATACTTTAAGGATACAACTTTTGTCCATTAATTATTTTTCCCATTAAAATTAAATAACATTGGAAAAGAGCAAACTTACCTTCCAAATGGAGAGACTCAAAAGTCAGAGTCACCAAAGAATGAGGACCACCTTTTATTAGGTAGGTGCAGTTCATGTTGTTATCATATCGCTTTGGGAAGTTTGGAGAAATAATGTAACCCGAAGGGCCAGTGAAGTTACCACCACATCCTATTTGAAGACACAACAAGCACCATCAGAACATTGGTTCTCCATGCAGTGCATATTTAATCAGTAAAGGAAAGCTGCCATTGCATCAGTTCTCTAGTGACAATTTCCGGAGCTACTCCAACCAGAACAAGCAACAACTGAGAGAGGAAAGCTTTGATTTAAGAAAAATATGTGTCACAGAATACTATTCAGCTAAGAAGGGCAATTTTAAGTCATTTGTAGAAAAAGGGGTGCACCTAGGAAAATACAGTGTTGAGGGAAATAAACCAGACGCAGAAGCTTAAATATCATACTGCATCTCTCACTTGGGCAAGTCAAGTGCAAACAAAGAGAATAATAAAGGATGGGTAGAATGGGACAAAGAGATGGATGCTTTGCATATATGAAGAGGTCCAAGAGATGAAGAGTGAGGGGTAAGCAGGGGAGGGAGAAATAAGTAGGATAAGGATGCACCATGTACAGGAACTCACAGTCTCATCGAATGTAAACATCATCTACCATGAGCACATGCTGAGATTAATAATATCAAGAATGAAACTGGGGGAAGGGGATTTAGAGGATGGAGGGGAGGGACAGGGTGGGAATTAATAAAAAGAAATGGGATATAATATGCACATACATGCACTCCCCAAGGTTATTATAAATTGTACTGTAAACATGCATTAAGGAAAACGAAAACACTCCACAAAAATAAAAATAAGCATATATGTAAAATAAGAATACTTTTTAAAGAAAATGCTGAAGAATTTAGGTGCTAAGTCATAGAAATTTTACCATTTGTATACTGAAACTCCCTTGACATCGAGGTATTTAAAGGATAAGTTAGCAAAGATTGAATATGGTTTATATAAATTGAAGAAACAAAACTGATAAAAATTATATCTAACTAGCATTTTATACACTTAATGTTTTTAAAATGTCTTATTAGAAAATTGTCATTATTATTTAGCTGTTTATAAGAATAATGATCGCTGCTTTTAAAAATTAGTTGACTTCATATTTATCATTAGATGATACTTCTTTTTTCTTTTTTTTTTTTTTTTTTTTTTTTTTCCTGGAACCGGGGATTGAACTCAGGCCCTTGCACTTGCCAGGCAAGTGCTTATTCTACTGGGCCATCTCCCTGGCCTTTAGATGACACTTCTTTTCATACAACCATTAGCTAGTTAATTCATATCACTCCTTGTCTTGTCAATCAGGAAATTATCCTTTTAAAGTAATATTTTTGTACACTTGCACATGGACAAAAATCTGAAGACCTACATGAGGTGTGTGTATCTTTCACGCCTTCTTGTTTTCTCTCTTCATTCTTATATTTATGACCAAGCCATCCATTTTTTGCATTATTCTTATTAATTCCTTTCCTGCAATCTTCTCCCATACAGTGATTTTCCATGAGTGGCTATGTGATTTAGCTCAGCCAGCAGGCACAGGGCACTGTTTCTCAGGCTGGGACATTGTTACCATTCCCACTCATCCAATTTGCATGTAGTGGTCATGGAGTGCTCCCATGCAGCCAGCTAGGCAGGGAGAATCCCCAAGAAAGTGGCTCCGAAAGCCTACTGGGATGACAGACCTCTGAGCAGAGAGCAAACATGCAAGTCCACATATGTGGAAACGCTGGCTTTAGATGGATCTGAGCTAATGCCTGCCAAGCTGCAGGTTTTTCAAGTCCCCTAAGAAATTTTGATGTAGGTGGTCAACATGCCCTGAGCCAAGCACAATGGTGTCTTACTACCATCACCTAAGTGTCTGCCAAACACCCACCTACTATGGTCTCTAGGTGTGTGTTTAAATGTTGGCTGATAGCACTTCAGTTTTTTTCACCATTTCTCAGTTGACCTACGATCCAAATCAGTTCCAGTCTTGCTGATATTTGAAGGATAAGTATCTTTTCTCTAGTGGATAACCTGCTCCCACACCTGTCACATCCCCAGTTCAAGCTACCCCCACACAGCTGTTCACTGTTCCCAGAACTGCCTGTGGAGTTCGCACTTTTTCTGTAATATCTGGCCTGCTTTTCAGTGCTACTCACGGCTTATGAAGGATGCAGAGAAGCCCTGGGCTGGTGTCTCCTGAGATTGGAAGACCAGAGAGAATGCATTTCTTGGTATGACAATGGAGCTGGGAGCCAGGTCCCCACACTGTGTGGTCAGAAGGCTGGTAGCGGTCTGCTCAGGTCCTGCCCACACCTAGCAGGGCCATGAACAGGAGTTAGCGGTGTCTACAGTTTTCCCCTACTGATATTTTATGTGCTTAGGCTTTAAAATAATGATTTCAAGGTATACATAGAAAAAAGACAATAGCAAACAACAACAACAAAAAAGCTAGAGTATTTAAGCTGCTTTTCCACTCCATTTTGACTTCCAAAGGAGACTCTTTGTTTTACTATGGAATTTTTTTTTTAAACCAATCACTATCACATTCTTCCAGTTGACCTAATCTAGGTGAGACTGCCTTCCGCAAGACATGTTTGGCAATGTCCAGAAGTATTTCTGATATTCATGTTTGATCTGTGGGATAGTAGAGTAAGATGGGTGGGGGCTGGGCATTTCCATAAACACCTGAGATACTTCCCTCCCTCACCCCTACACGCAACAGGGAATTGCCTGGTCCAAGAAAGCAATCAGACATGAATTAGTCTTACTCAACTGCTCAACATTTTCTTTGTATTCAATTATAAAAATTGATTCACTTTAAATACATCTCTTCTTTTAAGGATATTCATCGAGCAGAACACAAAGCATCAAGCCATGATAAGAAAGATTTCCATTGGGAAGTCAGTCCGTTGGAAGGGGTGTGAAATAGCACTGATTCTTAGCACTGATTTAATATTTCTCAGCTCTTTAAAGCCATGTCATTTCAAATGACTTTCAAACACTGAGTTGCCTCACTGCAGACAAAGTGTGTGTGTGCCCTTTATTGGATATCATAGGTGTCTTGGCGCTAGAGTCACTGAAAACAAAAGTACAGATATTCTCCCAAGCGCATCAATTAAGATGTCAGGAAAGGGATATTTTACTTGAAGCCACCAATTTTACCTAAGATTTAGGTTAAAACTCTTTAAGATTTTTTTCTTCTTAATCAACTATCTAGGAAAATAGTATGGAAAATCTCCTATCTCCGTTTATGAAACAATGGACTTCCTGAGAAATACTTACCTGCACTGGATTACTATACTACTGAACAGACATATTACTAAATAGGAGAAGTAAGGGAAGAGCAACAATTTTTAGTAAAGAGCAAATATTTTAAAGGACAACTTCAAACATGTTTAAATACTTACATTTTCTTTTCTTTTTTTAAAGCGCTTACATTTTCTATGAATCTGACATCTGCACCTTTTGACCAAAGAATATAAGCTAAGTAGCTTAGTAAGGATAATGCTGAAATGGTAAAGAGCTGTCAAGTGTTCAGTATCTTCTGGTCGGTCTAGAACTCTTTGCCCTGGCTACATAACCCAGGGCTCATCAAAACTATATGGAATCTACAACACGTCACTAAATTGCCATCTGATCAAAAACTCTTTGAGTGTTAGATTTTTGTCTAGCTGTAAATTATACTTTACTGCACAAGTTAATTATTTTTTAGAGAACAAATGTTTACTAACATAATTACAGATTTATACCGAGAAGACCTAATACAGAGAAATAATTGTACACAGTTCTCAGCTTCCTCAACTTTCATAACCAGGTTGTTGACATCTTTCAAAACCATTCACAATCAGGTTGCTGACCTGCGTGCTGTCCACCAGTTCACCAGTTTTCCAGCTTTGCTGGCACGTGTGCCTAGGAATCAGCTTACAGAACGCCAGGAGGACACCTCGAGCGACCGTTCATGACCATGTGCAGTCTGCTCCCACGTGCTCATCTCTCTAAGCTCTGGCCATTTGCTTTCTATTTCTAAACTACTGTCATTTTAAATACTATAGAAATGTCTCTTCGAAGACATCATCTGCATCACCTAGTTACAATTTTATGATTGTCTAGCCAGTATGTCTTTATTTATTTTGCTTCCCTTACTGCAATGTCTGGAACTTGGAAATAAGACATTCTACTTTTTACCAACCTCAAAGGGAAAGCGTTCAGTCATTTGCCATTGAGTATAAGAATTACGAAAAGGTTTTTTTTTTTTTAATAATATTTTATTTATTTATTTATTTATTTATTTATTTATTTATTTGGTTCAACCTCTCACTATGCAGCTTGGACTTGTGATCCTCATGTCTCAGCCTCCCTAGCACTGGGATTGCAGACGTGTGCCATCATGTCTGGTTTTGGTGGCTGGCATGGCACCCCCGGGTTTCCAAGGCCAGCATGTATGTAGTACCGGGGATCGAACCCAAGTCCTTGTGCTTGCCAGGCAAGTGCTTAGACCACTAAGCTATTTCCCCAGCCCAATGATAAGGTTTTTAATTATTTTTTTATCATTTGAGCATTCCCATCCATTCCTAACTTTATTGGGGTTTTTATAATGAGTTCATGCTTGATTCTGTCAAGTTTTTCCTGAACCAATATATGATTATACTATTTTTTCCTGTAGCACGCTAGTATGGTCCAATATGCTGGCTTATTTTTTATTGTTGGAACAATAAGCTCATTTGGGATAAACCCCATTTACTCATGGTGTATAAATTTTTCCATACATTTCTAGATTTAATTTGCAAGAAAAAATTAAGCATCTTCACATTTAAGTTTTTAAGATATAGGCTCTAATATTCTTTTTTGTTTTAGTTTTTTATAAATTGTTTTTATTTGGTATAGGGATAGTAATTCTCATTTCAAAATTAATTAAGAAATGTCTGTTTTCTGAAACAAACTAAAGTTGTTATGAATTCTTTAATTCACAGAATTTTTCTAAGCAAAATCATTTCAGGAGACTTCTTTTTCAGGTAGTTTTCAATTACAGTTCAATTTTTTTACTAGTCATAGAGCTATTTTGATTATATATTTCATGTGGTTGAATTTTGGTAGCTTGTGGTTATAGAGGGCTAAATAGTGGTCCCTAAAAAATATGTCCGTGTACCTTAATCCCTGGAGTCTATGACTATTACCCTATTTGCTAAAGGGATATTTGAGTTTGGACTAGCTCAGGGCCTTAGTATGAGAAGATCAGCATGAATCATGCAGATGGTGTTTAAATACAACAGGAGCTCCTACAAGAGACACAGATAAGAGACACAGAGACGAGAAGGAGACAATGGGACCACTGGGGAAAAGACTGGAACAATATGGCCACTAGCCAGAGTGCTTCGAGTCCCCACAAACTAGGAGCTGCGGCCATCTGTGGCAGAGAAGCTCACAGAAGGAACTGACACCATTATTTGGAACTTCTAGTTCCCAGAATTGTTGAAAAATAAATTCCTGGTGTTTTAAGGCACTGATTTTTGTGACAGTTTGTTACAGTAGTGGTTTAAAAGAACTGTCCTACTTTCCAGAGTTAATTTGTGAACATAAAATTGTTCATAGTAGTCTCTAAACACGTTTTCAGCAGCTGCAGGATTTAGTGATATCCTTTATTTCACTCCCACTTGGTACTGGTGATTGTGTGTTTTCACCTTTTATTTTTATCAATCTTGCTATCAAACTCTTAAAAGTCGTCTTTTTGTTTTCTTGATTTTTTTCTAAGGACTTCCTATTTTCAGGATCACTAATTTCTATTTTCACATTATTTATTTCCTTCTGCCGGCTTTGGATTTATTTTAGTCTAGTTACTTGGTATAATAACTTCATGAATGAGTTCAGATTTATTTCTCTTCAGTGATATAAATTTAGTTTTTGTCACAGCTTTAGCGATAGCCTACACAATTTTTTTTTGGGGGGGAACCAAAAAAAGACTTTATTGAGGGCAAGAGGATGCAAGTAAAAAAATCAAAAGCTTATGTACCATTTAATGAACCTTCCACCCTCTGTCCAGTGAGAGCTGGATGTTATTTGTACATTTTCTAAGGGTCCTGATCTTAGATCATGACATCTTTATACAAGGGGCAACCAAGGGGCAGATTCCTTAAGTGGCCCTTTGGGAGAACTCTCATCAGGGCAGGAGTAAATGTTCACGCCGCCTACTTCATTCCCTTCTGCTTCATGTGTACTACAAAGTAATCATTGCACGCAATGGTGAGGCCTGTAATTAGTGAAAAGAAGCTCTGGAAGCCCACTTTGCCATCTCACCACTGGTCCAGGTCCTTCATGATTTTGTCCAAAGCCAGAGGGTCTTTTTGATTTTCCAAAAATCCAGGGAACTCCTTTTCCATGAGTACTCTCAGGTCCTCCTTTTTTTTTTTTTTTTCAAAGTTTTATTGATAAACAGATAGCAATGAGACAGTTTCAGATCAAATCAGAAGTACAGTTTCAACAAATAATACACTGCATATATTCTTCTTAGTGGTTAATTGCTGTACACGAAGTGGACTTGTGAAGCTATTTACAAACACCATTAGAACAAATCATTCTATTCATTAAGAGAATGCAACTATATATCTATCCTAACCACTTGGAATACACAAATACAAAATGGACATTCATCGGTATACCCCATTTTTTCTAAGTTACATTATTGAATATTATAGGTGTGTAAACTCAGCAAAATATTCTAAAAGAGTCCAGTAGCCCATAATAGCATTGGGTCCTCTGTTTAACTGGCAATGTCAGAAATTATTGACCTGAGTCCTCCACAGCTCAACATAACAGCATGGCTTTATTTCCTATATTTCGTCTTCACACTTTTCTACTGGATGGTGAAGAGCAAGGTAAAGCAGGACCTATGCAACAAGAGTTGTAGCTTTTTGGTCTGAGAAGGTCAGTGAAATGTCCTCAGGATTTGTCTTGAGATCCCGTGCCTCAGATTGTAGAACCTTTGTCAGTGCAGCCATGTGGATGAGTCACGGCCATTGCTTGGCCAATGTGCTCTCTGTGAAAGCCTGAGAGAGTGTCTTCTCCCTATGTGACTCTCCTTAGGCACACTCTACGTCATCGATCACTTTCCTCTTTGGCCTCATAATCTTCTTGATCAGAAAATTTGGGACACTACCGAGGTACATGACGTTACAGTACAAGTTCTCATATGTCCTGAGTCTTAATTGACCTTAGAAGGTTAGGGCCAAAATGTTGGCATTCCTTGTAGCCCTCCTTTTTCTCTAATTTTGGTCTGCAAACTTACGTTGTTAACCATCCAGAAGACAAGCTTATTGTTA